GCGGCGGACGCGGCGATCGCCGGTGAGGCCGGAGCAGGGCGGCGGGGCCGGCGCCGGCGAGGAGGAGGCGGGCGGCGCGGCGAGGGAGAGGGCTCGGGCGGCCTCGGGCGAGCGGCGGAGGTGATGGGCTCAAGGGGGCCGGTCTCGGGCCCGAGCGGGCCGGCGGCGGGGGAAAGATGGCGGCGACACGTGGCGGGCGCTGAGTGGCGCCGGTTGCTGGCGGACGTTGTCCGGCGCGGGTCGGACACGTCCGGTGCGGCGGATCTGGGGATTTTTTAGGGTTTCGGGGAGGGGATCTGAGATTTGGAACGAGGGGTCTTTAAATAGAGGTGGAGGGAGCTAGGAGAGTCCAAGTGAGGTGCGGTTTTCGGCCACGCGATCGTGATCGAACGCTCTAGATGATGGAGAAGGTTTTGGTGGGTTTTGGGCCAAATTGGAGGGGTGTTGGGCTGCAACACACACGAGGCCTTTTCGGTCCCTCTGTTAACCGTTGGAGTATCAAACGAAGTCGAAATGGTACGAAACTTGACAGGCGGTCTACCGGTAGTAAATTAAGGCCGCTTGGCAAGTCTCGGTCCAATCCGGAAATGTTTAATCCCCACACACGAAAGAAAGGTAGAATTGACCACCGGAGGAGAACGAAGCGCCGGAATGCAAAACGGACAACGGGGAAAATGCTCGAATGCATGAGATGAACACGTATACAAATGCAATGCACATGATGACATGATATGAGATGCATGACAACGATAACAACACACGGAGACAAAAACCCGAACCCGAGAAAATAAAATAACTTAACGCCGGAAACGGCAAGAGTTGGAATACACATTGGAAAGTCATATCCGGGGTGTTACAGGCGGTGGTGGACAGCGGCAAGGTGGGCAGCGGCGGGGTGGGTGATGGTGCAGACATGATCGGACCCAAGCTACCTGATACCAAGGTGTTATGAGTTAGGGTTCTGCCGGTTCTGAGGCGGAGATTGTAGGGGAATGATGAAGGATGACGAGGACGAGGGCGCGGCGGCCGATGGCTGGGCGCCGTCCTTGCATGGTGGAGAAGAGGCGGCGGCGGCGCAAGAGGCGGCTAGGGTTAGATCTTCCGGCTCCCTAAAAAAAGCCGAGCAAATGATGATTGCTTCTTACTTGATTATTAGATTGATACATCTCCTCTCCTTATATAAAGAGGTTTACTTTTTTTAACAATATAAAAAGATTTATTTGGCTCCTAAACAAACGATAAGATAATTAGGCTAAGTCGATAAGATAACTTGGGCCACAACACATTGGGCTAAGCCCCTAAGTGTAGGCCAAAACCGATGTCAAATTCACTTTTTGAACATTTGGCACCGGTGCCCTACATAGCCCAGCCGATGCCAAATAAAAATTTCAGGGCATCGATTCCTCTACTTGCTCCGACGCCATATTTCGTTGAGGCAATAAACTAGGCAGCCACTGTACTTTTGCATGCGAGGCACCACCGGCGAGACACTGCTTTGAGCTGATATATTACTAGTTTATACGTAGGTGGGCCAGAGGTGGATGGGTGCCAAATCCTTCACGTTGTGGTGCCGGTGCTAAACTTTTTACATGTGACATCGAAGTGTATGTGGCAAACTTTTTAAATTTCTGACACCGAACACATAGTGGAGGGCCTAATATGAGTTATAACAGACGATGACCAAAGTCGGGCCGTGCACTGCATGCATGTGTACCGAGCGTCTGACAGAGGGTTCGAGCATGAGCACCACTGGCACCTGACGATCCCATATCTCTCTCTCATTAAATCCGTCTACAGTGTCGTGTAACAGCATGCACTGTTGCTGACCCGCGAGCAGCAGTAAATCCTCAACCGCCCACGGCCCACCACACCCAACCAAAAAATTAATCAATTTCTGCCCGATATACGATTCCACTACAGTAGAGCGTGCGTACTCTACTGTCTAATCCGAAAACAACGGAAGATCGGTCGATGCTCCGAGCCAAACACGATTTTTTTCTTTTCCGGACTCCGAACCGATCGTCCGTGCGCGGCGCGGCGCAGGAGGAGAAAGGCGATGACGCCGCGCAGCACTGTAGCCTCCAACCTTTCCTTTTCCTGCCCACCACCACCACCTGCCTTTGAAGTCGAGCCCCCTCCCTCCTCCGATCCACACGTGGGGGTATATACTACTACGTGTATATACGATACCACCACCACCACCACCACCTCGGCGACTTCGCTCCTGCCGGCCCGGCCATCTCCATCCACCGTCCGCTCCGGCCGGCCACCTCGCCGCCGCCGCCCGTCCCCTCCTTGTGATGCTTCGGTACCCGCCTCTCTCTCTCTCCCTCCCCGTCTCGCCCTGCTCGCTCTTCTCGCGAGGATTGTTTTTCTTGTTTCTCTTTCCGGGAGCTCGGAGGGGATCCCAGGTGTTCTTGGCGACGGGGGAGGAGGCGGCCTTCCTTGTTCTGGATCGACTGCCAAATCTTCTGTTTATCTGGTGTTTCTTTTGCCGGCGGGGTTGGTTTGTCGGTAGAGCGCACACAACCACGAGCGCTTCTTCTGCTTATCCACCAATGCCGCAGCTGTGTTGTCGATTTCTGCTTGGATTCAGCCTGGGTTACTTTCACGCAAACCATCTCTTGTTTCCTCTGCCGCTCATAAATAGGCCGCTCCCTTTTGATCGAGCTGCTGCCTGGCCCTTCCTTCAGAAAAGAAAAAAGAAAAAGAAATGCCCCTGCATTTGACCAATTTGTCTGCTCTGTTTCTCCGATTCATCCGGGCTTTTTCGTCTGTGCTGTCATTTGATTTATGGGATTATTAGTCTGCGCAGACGTGAATCCGACTCCTTCAGGTTCTTGCTGGCGACTACTATTTGGTTTCCTCTCCTTTCATTTCCTTTCGGAAAGAAGAAAACAAGTTCTTGGCTAAGTAGCAAGATCCAGCTCCGTTGCTAGTTTCAATCCGACTAATTTAATCCCCACTCCACTCTGGGTTTCTGTGTTCCTCGCCTCTTAAAAAGCTTAAAAAAAATCCTTCTTTGGTGGCCGTGGAGTCAACTTGTCGAGCTGAGAAGTTCAACCAGCAATAAAGCTCGGCGGAATCTTCAGACTTGTTTATTCTTTTACCTGGAGCTCCTAGTTGTTTCCAGTACAACCATCTTCTTATTTAGTATAGCATTTTCCCTTGATTCAAATCAATTCTATAGCTGTGAGTGATGATGCGCACACCAACTGTTGATTTGCGGTTTTATTATGAGCATACATGTCTTTCCACTTTTGAACGGTCAATAAATGGATTTGTGCGCAGGCTGTCGCAAGGAGGCGGAGTGCTGCGCTGCGCTGGTGATTACTAGTAGGCATCACATCTCCGGCCTCATTTGCCCTGTTCATCACCAGGTATTTTCAGTTCCATCCATGTAGCCGTTCAAGAAATTTGCTAGCGTTATCTTGATTGATCTCTCCGCCTTCTATTGTCACGGTAAGACGTTCATGGTTTCATTGTCTGCTTTGGTTCCTGCATCTTGTTCTTAGGTCAATGCATGTCCCCTCACTGCAAGTTCCATTATATTAAGTTCTAAATTAAGCACCCTCGAGATCTTTAGTAGGAGGAGGGACCTGTTTTTTTATCGTTTATTTTATCATCAAAGATTTAGAGAGCCATAAAATGGATGTGTCTTGCCATCTTCTTTCTTTTTATCAAACAAATTTGTAGTTAGTTGTTTTTCATACAGCTGCATGAATTAGGCAACCAACTTTCAGATGTACTACAAGCAATCTAGGGTAGGCACACAAGTAATCTCCACACTGTGAAGAACAAGCCAGCTGATCTCTGTTGAGCCTTTTTCTTCTGCAGCTTCTTGGAAGTCTACATTTTGGTCAGACCCTTTGAAGAAGAAATCCTCTCACAACTACTACCATGGGTGCCTGTGTGTCTTCAAGCAGAAGGCGGAGACCGCAGAGATTGCGCTGCACATATCGCCGCGGAAAGGTTTTGAGAAACACGCCTACCATACGCGCCAGTGATGTGGGGACCTGTGCTGCTTCTGGAGAAGTTGTCCATGTGGAGACTTCCGCGGCCACTCGCAGGAAGTCCGATGGCTCTAATGTAACATTCCACCTCACACAGCTGCAGTGGCATCATAGCGAGCTAGACTCTGAAAATGGAAGCGGTAATCGGAGTTTTCATGTTACTTTCATACATTTTAGGATCCAAAGTCTTTACATTTCACATTTAGGATCGAAAGTCCTTATATTTTGCCCTATTGGTGCAGTTGTATGTCAGGAAGAAGCATGGTTCGATTCTGTCAGTATTTTGGGGTCTGATTCCGATGAGGACTTCAGCAGTGTCAACGGAGGTATTGTATTTTCTCTGGACAGGTTTGATTAGCAGTAGGCATATGAATTTGTTCTTATATATTTATGCACAATCTTTTCTTGCAGACTTTCCTGCCATGTCGAGCGCAGGAAGGACACACTTAGTGCAGTGTGAAGATGCTTCATGCATTGCTGATTGCATCCAGAAGTTCGAGAAGTTTTTCGACAGTTCATGTGTTGCTCAAGCTGTTGAACAGTACCTAACAAGAGATGCAAACTGTATGGATAAATCAAGCCAATCCGGTGTTCAGGAAGCAGAGAGGCTTAAAATTGCAAGTTCGGAAACATCTGATATCTCTGGTGCAAAGGTGGAGGAAGCAAAGACAAAAAATGATGGCGTAAAAATGCTGACAAAACTTCGAAGAGGTGACGAGGCATGCAATAATTTGAAGTCTTTCAAAGATGGAGAAAAATCTCATGAAAGTATCTTCAAAAGTTTGACACCAGTGTGCACGCCTCGTCATGCTAATAAGGTTCAGCCTTTGGGAGTGGCGAGCCCACGGGGCCAAAAGAAGAAGTCAGGAGTTGTCAGGCTCTCTTTCACGAGGACATCTTTTGATGGGGAGCAAATTACTGAAATATGTGAGTTTTCCTCTGATGTGTCTTACCATATTTTTTCTACATTAGATAATTTTCAGAAATATGATTGATGTTGAATCTCTATCCCCAGGCTCTAGGAGGTACTTGATTCGTCCAAGAGCCGGGCTATTGATTCCTCAAGCCAGCGAGAAAATATCAGAAGGTTGTTGGTCCATTCTTGAGCCTTCGACCTTCAAGCTACGCGGAGAAAGCTTTTTCAGGTAAGAGTTGGTGCACCCTTTGCTTGTCTTGTTTTGTAATTTTCTAGTACATGAACTTGGTTTTAATTTGTATAACTTTTATGTAGAGACAAAAAGAAGGCAGCTGCCCCAGGAAGTTCTCCATATACTCCAATCGGCGTGGACATGTTCATGTCACCAAGGAAAATACATCACATTGCCCAGCATATTGAGCTACCATCTATAAGGCCAAGTGAGAAAGTTCCTTCGTTACTTATCGTAAATATTCAGGTATGATAGTCAGAACTCGCTGGTTTCCCCTAAACATTTAGGATGCTAGTTGTTGCAATGATTACTAATGCGTATGTATTGTGCACCCAGATGCCTACATATCCGACTGCTATCTTCCTTGGGGACAGCGATGGGGAAGGGATTAACCTGGTGTTGTATTTCAAACTGAACGACAACTTTGAGAAAGATATTTCTCCTTACTTCTATGAGAGTATCAAGGTAAATTTTCTCTCTCCCGTCTTTGTTCGCAGACAACTGATGCATGTTGATGACCTGAACTGATATGCCCTTGATCTCTGTTTTCTGTCTCATTTACAGAGACTTGTAAGCGATGAGGTAGAAAAGGTCAAAGGGTTTCCATTAGACTCAACTGTTCCTTACAGGGAAAGATTGAAAATATTGACTGGGTTGGTTAACCCAGATGATATGAATCTGAGTTCTGCAGAGAGGAAACTTGTGCAGGCTTATAATGAAAAGCCAGTTCTGTCACGGCCTCAACACAACTTCTATGTGGTGCGTGACATTTTCTTGATGCATGCCATCTTTTTAGTTTTTTTTGCTAGCATCTCCACTCCTATATAACATATGGGTTTGATACATACAGGGATCAAATTACTTGGAGATAGACCTAGATGTGCACCGGTTTAGCTTCATATCAAGGAAAGGGCTCGAAGCTTTCCGAGAACGGCTGAAGCATGGTGTAATCGATCTGGGTCTAACCATACAGGTAGCATGATGACTCATTCTTCTTGATAAGTTGCTAGGAGGGATAACTTGTCGATGAACTGAAAATGTTGAGCGTGTCATGCAGGCCCAGAAGCAGGAAGAACTCCCTGAGAATGTCCTGTGCAGTGTAAGGCTAAACCGGCTTGATTTCGTCGATCATGGACAAATACCAACACTCCTTCCTTGCGATGACGACTGACACGTGACCTGGGTGTGCTAAGTTAAACCTGAAGTCTCAGTCAGGACCTCAAAACCATTTCCAGGTGCTCACAAGTTCTGACCCTTGAGGATTGATGACCTTCCCTTTGCTATGTGTGCTTGGAAGGGTTGCGTTGCTCTGCAAGATGAACGGTCCTGCCGCAGCCCGCAATGTTGTTATGTAAAAACATGCGTATATAGTCACGTTCATTAACAATCTGGATATGTGGGTCAACTTCGAATCTGTGAACCCCGCGAATCAGGAGTTGATGATGCTATCTGGACGGCCTTATTGGTTTATTTATTCAATTTATCTCTTCTCTATCTTCTAATATCATATTGTATGTACATTATTTGTTATAAGGCTATGCCAACCTCCATCCAATTAAACATCACATTCTGAAACTTGTTCTGGACGTAGCTATCATCAATATATATGTCTGAGTTTTTGCAATCCAAATCTTGAAGAAGAAAATAATAGATTTGATGCTAAAATGCTAGTATAACTGACACCAGTTATCTCAAACTAGAATCCAACGGGAGTTGTTTAGAGGGAAAAAAAGTAGTGTAGCTGTCTTTCCACCAAAACTGACGATGCCATGAATCCGGGGTATCCAGGGCACCAGAAGTCGGCCCACCAGACCTAGTAAAGCCCTCGCCTGCCCATGCCTTCTACCCAGCCCATGGCCTCCACCAAAGGAAGAATTCGGCTTGCCATCCAAGACACGCCGAACGGGAGATCCAGGACTCTTCAACCGCCTTAGCCGACTAAGAAACTTGTAATCCTAGGTCTCGTCCTCTATAAGGCGAGGTCGGGCTAGTCATTAGGTATCTTACATCTCATAGTTTCACTCCCTCGATACACATATGAACATCTGCGTACATTGTGCTTGTGCACTCTATGAACAATTAGAAAGTAGGGTTTTACCTTCACCATGAGGGCCTAAACCTGGGTAAACTTTGCCTTTGAGTTCCCCAACTCGATCATCCGAATGCTGCGGTACCCTGTCGAGGGATCTGTCAGATTCCAATCTGACAATGGCACTCCAGCCACCAGGCATGGGGTGCACTTGTTGGAAACAAGATACATATGTGATCTAGCATTATTCGTGGCGTCTATGCTTAGGGCCTGATCTTTATATTTAGGCGCCATGAGCTTCGTCGCTGACTCAACGGGGTGAGTCGGCCTTGTCCCTCCCCTTGTTGAAGGCCAGGTTCTCATCTTTGGGAATTTGGAGTTCGTCACTGGCCAGCGTGATGAGACCCGTGTACATGATTCGGCACCTCCCACTTTGTCGAAGGCCTAGGAGCCGATGAAAATCTTCAACTTCCCCCACCTTTCACTTTGTCTGAGTGGTGGAGTCGCTTCACCAGATCTTGGATGAGGAAGAGTCTGACGAGGACAGTGACTTGAGCAACTGCCCGGAGGCAATCCTAACAACCGACTTGGCAACGGTCCGGACTGTGGTCTACATGGTGGATACCAACAACACCGTTGCATGGAACGCCGACGACATAGAGGAGGACGGCGACTTTGACGTCACCACAACGACGACCAACTTGGACGTCTTGTGCACGCCAGTGACGGGCACAAAGATGAAATTGATAGTTTTTCGAGTTTTGAAACATTTTTGAATCTTGGGAACATTTTTAAAATTTGGATCATTTTTATAATCTGAGAACTTTTTAAAAACTACAGTTTGAAATTTGAAACATTTTTCAAATGCATTAACATTTTTGAAATTCGAAATCTTTGTAAAATTCATTAGTATTTTCTGAAATTCAAATAAATGATTTTTTAAATCTTGAATATTTTTTGGAGTTTAAAAATGCAAAAGATAAAGATAAAAAATAAAAAACAAACAAACATGGGGCGCTCCGGCCCGCACATGGGCCAGCCCAAATTGCGCGCGGGGACCGATAGTCTGTCGCATAGTGGCCCATCTCATCTGTGGCGTCGAAGGAGCTGGCAGGCCGAAATCTCCCAGGCCAAAACCCACCATTGAAGAATATAATAAAGGGCCAGGGACTTTGTCTCCCTTTGAAACGCACGCACGCAGTGGGCACTCAGATCACCCCTGTTTCTTCGTTCTGCCGCTGCCGACAGAAGCTTCGATCAGGCATGCCCATGCCCGACCTGGCTACTTGCTAGTATCGATTCCAGTTGATCCAAGAATTGACGAAGAAGGTTAGGATGAGCGGGCGAAGAGGCAAGGAAGAAAGGTTAGTCTACTCCAAAGTCCAGTCATGTAGATTAAATCTGTGCCTTCTAAATTATGGATGTAGAATTGTAATAAGAGAATACGAACAACCAAAACTAATTAGGAAAATTTCATAGATGTGTTGTGCCCAGACAAGCCGCCCGCAAACCACGGTAAAACACTACGTCGCGGCATGAGCGCTGCTAGGATAGCTCTTGCGAAACCTCGCTTCTCGCTCGCCACAGCCATCGTCCCTGCAGATCTCGCCACTCCAGCCTCGCGGCATGCCTCCACGCCGGCGAGGGCCGCGGGCACCGACCGCGGCCACACCCCCTCCATCCCCTCGGATGCCCCCTTCCGTCTACGAAGCCTTCCCAGAGATGGTGAGGCCGATCTTACCAGTTCCACAGGGGGTGCTCATGGCGACCAGGGCGCCGGGATGGGTGAAGCGGGCGACCAGGATCCGCGACGCCACCGTGGCGTGGATCCGGTGCGTGCGAGAGTGGAAGGCGGCAGATCAAGCGGTGGCGGCAGAGACCGCCCCAAGCGTGAGATCCGCAGCAGTGAGGCATGCGGAGATCTGCCAGAGGAGGGCGGACATGGAGCAGAGGATTCTAGCAGTGAGGATCTACGACGAGGCCACGACGGAGGAAAGCGCAAGGATGCCCGCGTTCCCACACTCTCCACCGGCCGCGTTCGTGCTGTGGGCGAGGGCGGAGGTGAAATCAAAAGATCCTCGGTGGGCGCTGCGGTGGGAATGCATTCTGGGAGTGATGCCGTCGAGCACTCCACTTCAGTTCTCACCCCCGCCTCCGGCCTCCAGCTGAATCTGGATTGCGGGGCCGCCATTGCTGAAGCTTCTGACGGTCAGTTCAAAATTCAAACAGGGCAGGAGGCGGCAGGAGCAAGGAGGATTCGGATGTGTCGCTGGGCTGTGGGTCCCCCTGGCAGGGAGAGTGAGGTAGATGCCACCACTTTGGCCAGCTGTGGGAGGACTCGATTTCACTTTCCCCATCTTCCCCAACCACTCCCCGCATCGACGAGGATAAGAAGGCGAGAGGGGGAAACCCTAAACAGAGGAGTGTGTTAGCCTGGATCCAGAGAGACAAATTTAGAGGGAACTGCTTTGCAGCGAGGATTGCTTTGTGGCTAGTGTGAAGTACATCGATTTTTAGAGTCCGGTCGATTTCAGTTGCTCTAAATCGCCCTGGAAAGGGAGATTCATGCTGAATTTTGAAGAGATCTGGAAGAGGAAGAGCATGGCAGAGAACAACAGAGGAAGGGGAAGGGGGAGAGGTACTGATCTCCCTCCACAAAGCCAAGGCGGGGTGTCGCCGGACGATAGGCACCCTCAATTCCCCTACTCTCCCCCGTTCGCCTATGGCTTCCCAGGGGCACCACCGCCATGGATGTTTGCGGGTGCATACCCTTTCCCTCCTCCCATGTTTCCTGGGAATGAGTGGGAGAGTAACTAGGGATTTAGTGGAGATCAGCAACAGAGGGCCAGACAGGGTAGCGCACAAGGAAATCAAGGGGAAAAAATCAGGTGCAGAGTGGTGGGCAGCAGAAGGAGAAGCAGAAAAAGGCACAGGAGAAGAGTGTGGCAGGGGTTTCGGCTACGGATGAAGAGATGATTCAGCCCAAAGACTAAACAGAATACGCACAGGTTACCTGCTACAACTGTGGAGATCTAGGCCACCACAAAGCAATGTGTGAGAAACCCAAAAAATGCTTTATCTGCAAATCCACAACTCACCAAGTTGATGCTTGTCCTGTCAAGAAGAGGCCACACCAAATGGCCCAGTACATAGGGAGTGCTGCATCTGGGCTGGGCTTTTACCATTTGGAAATGCTTGAGCTGGGGGTGAACTCTATAGGGATTTGAAGAATTGTGGGGTGGTTTACATTGAGTTTGGCCATGTGAGCAAAGAGAAACTAACAAGGGAGTTTTATATGATTTACAAGACTAACTAGCCATGGCAAATAAGAGAGATAGACGAGGATTCTTTCCTGGTCAAGTTCCCTCCGCACATCTCAGTTGAGCAAGTGGCTGGGTATCCTTGCTTTGGGCTCCCCTCCATGGATGTTACTGTGAATGTGGAAGTCTGGAAAGAGGAACTAGCCTATTTAGATGAGCTGGTGGAGGTGTGGGTGCAGGTCAGGGGCCTACTGCCGAAATGGTGTGAATGGTCAGTTCTTGATCAATGTACCTCAACTTTTGGTCTATGGATGGAGCTGGACTGGCAAGGCATGTTGCAAAGCTTGTTTGAACATGTTAGGGTGAATATACAGTGCAGAGATCCTGCAAAAATTCCCTCCAAGAGGCTTTTTGAGCTGGGGGGGTCCTTCAAGGTGCAACTGACTGTGGAAGTTCCCATAGTCAGGAAAGTGGTGGAGAAAGAAAAACCCAATAACAGTGAGGATTGTGATGGAGATGGAACACAACAGGGAGAGAGGATGGACACTAACAATAGGCTAGGAAAATCTAGTGATAAAACACCAAGATCAAATGAGGAACAACGTGGGGACAATGTGCATAAGAGAGCTGGTTCTAGCAGCATGGGAGACAGAGAGCCATAATGAGAGATAAAAAAGAGAGGAAAATGAGCTGGAAATATGTCAACCAGTAGATGAAAATGCCACCTCAGAACAAGGGCTGGACTGTGGGTCTGTGATGCCAAGAGAAGACCCTGAAAATGAAGTTACCAGGTTCATATACACTGAAATGTAGCAGGTGGAAAACTTGGAGGAGCAGTGTGTAGTGCTAGGAGGGGTTGACATGGATAAAAGTTCAGGAGTT